TCGGAGTTGAGGGCGCGAGGCGGGAGGGAGGTTGGCGGGGCCGCGCTTCGCTTTGGAGCACGGGGCACCTGTGAGGGGAGGGTCTGGGTTTCAGGGTGCGAGCCCTCCCTCTCTCCCTCTCTCCCTCCTTTATACAGCCTTGGGAAGACAGATGCACAGACCTCCAGCTAGCACCTGGGTAGCCATCGTCCCCTCCCCTCTTGTCTTCTCTGCCCTGGCCTCAGCCCCTCTAGCGAGCATGCTCGATGCTCTGCCGTTCCCCGCCTAAACGAGTGCTTCCAGTTTCAGAGGACTCTTGAGTTTTCACATAGAGTGAAGTCGGTTACCGGCAGGGAACTGACTTGAAATAGGGTGGCGATCACGTGATCTCTGAGTCCTTGGATGTTTAAAAAAAAAAAAAAGTAGGTGTGCATAATGCAACCAGAATGAACTTGTACGTAGTGCGGTACTTTTAAAAGATGTGCCCGCACCCTCCCCCCACCCCTTCCCAGCCACGTGGAACAACAGTGCTAAGCATATGCCTATGTGCTAGCCAGCCATCTTTTCCGGAGTTCTTGAGTGAAGACTGGATAAGTAAATGGTTACGGAGCAGGACCTCTTTGAATCTGGACTTGTGTAGGGTTTTCTGTTTTCGGCCTTTGGGTTTGTGTTAGGCAGATTTTTCTCCAGAAGCGGTTCTTCGAAGGAGGTAAGGGATTGAACACAGCTAATACTGGAGGTGGAAGTGCCTTGTGCTGTCAGCTGATGGTTTGTCACTACACCTTGGCCACATGGAACCCTGTTAGGGTGTGGAACAAGCCCTAGCCTTGAAGATGTAGCCCCGGTAACTACCAGTAGGACATAGAAAGAAGTTGCCTGTGGTGGTTGAGGTAACTCTGCATGTGAAAACAAAGGAAACTTGATGTGCTGATCAGTTATTAGCTGGCTGCACGTGGGCAGCATAGGATGGAATGAGGGGCATAGAGCTGCCCTGTGGCTTTGGGCTGACAGAGGGCGAACTGTCATTGTGATTTGAGAAGGGACAGGGCTGGCAGCCACTAAATTCTGTGTACGGTAGACAGTAATGTATGTCTTAATGTCTTGCAGAGAGTACACAGACAGACCATAGGTGATGGAGCCTGGGGAGTAAGGGAAAGTAGTTTGTTTACAGATGCCTGTTGCTTGTTTATTGAGCTGGCTGCTTAGTATGTACTGAGCGTTTAGTAAGTGCCAGGAGCTGTGGTGGGTGCTGTTGGTAGAAAGATGATGAATTGGCTCCTTCTGAGAACTTGATCTAGCTCAGACAGATGATAGGTAGTATGTAGTAGTGTGTCACAGAGAGTGGAGGGTAGGAGACGGTGAGGCTGTCAGGCTACATATAGAGTATATATGTGGACCAAAGCAGTCTTTCTGAATCCACAAGAAACAGAATGGAAGGGAGTTTAAAGTAGAGCAGTCAGGTGTTGGCCACAATGGGAGGCTCTGTAAGCACCGAAGTCCAGGAGTGACTAGAGAGGCCAGTAGAGGCTGGGAATTACAGGTGGGTTCTTGTGTGGGTATGATTTAATCTGTCCTAGGATCAGGAAGTTGTGAGAAGGGAAATGAAATGGCACCATAAAAGACCATTTGCTGTATAGGATGCATTGTGTAGGATGGAACCAAGAACTAGGTAAACAAGGAGAGGGAGTGGGTAAGAGCTGTTAGAATAGAAGAGGAACTGATTGAAAAGGTTGAGTGTAGGATGTAGGAAAACCATCACAGTTGGCTGTTGTGTTTGTAGTGTCAATACTACAACTTACCTATTCTGTGTCTTTTATTCCCTAAAATGAGACCAGCTTGCTGAGCTGTGTGGATAAGGGAAAGGGAAGAGCAGGCTCTCCCTTGGCATTTCTAGTGTAACTCAGCTAAGGTGGGTGACTGGGCTTTACTTAAGTCTCTAAAACCTGAGGAATAGATAGAATTCCCTGGGGACTGTGTAAAGAGAAGAGCAGTTGGTTCTAGGAATTGAAAGAAACCTCGGGGAGTGTATTTGCAATAAAAGGCCCAGGTTGGAAACAATATGACACTAAAATGCCCGAGTGCCTGGTGTATTTTCGTCCAGTCTAGGGTTAGATGGGTGGAGATATGGTAAAACAAGAATAGTCTGTTAGATTTAACCAGTGAAGTCTGATAATTGGGACCAATTGCTTTGCTACTTAATTCTGAGGCCTTAAATCATCTGAGTGTGTGTGAAATGGAGGTCCATCTTATTGTGAAGATTGGAGATGCTATCAAGTACTTAGTATTTGGCATGGAGTGAGTCAGTAAATGTTACTGAGTATAACATGCTTCCCAGGCACAGCCTGCTGAATAACTTAGGAAGGAATCTGGTAATTATCTTAATTCATTACAATAATTCAAAAAATGATGAAAAGGTAGGCCTTTAACATTCTCATTTGTAAAGAGCTAATTCACTTGGCTCCAAATTCAGTCCGATCTCCCTCTTTTACTTGGGTCCCAGCCACACAGCGTGATTCCTCATCCCTGCTTTGTACCATTGCTAACATTTCTTAGGTATTTTAAGTTGTATTAACTGCTGGAAAAAACAGGTAGCTGAAACAGCGTGTAGCAAGTCATCATTAGCCTAGTAATTTCTGCCAGTGACATCTGAAATTAAATATTAGTGTTATCTGCATTACAAATCAGGAGCCTAAGAGTATCCAAGGTGAACTGGAATTCATAATAGAGCTCATATTGAGGGTAAAGAACTCTGACTGAATTTACTCTACAGGGCTTTAAGACTGGTGGGTTGAGCACGAAGACCTGCCCGTGGTAAGAGTACACTCTTTCAGTCAACCCCTTACTTGCCTCACCTTTGTCCTGAAGAAGCTGCCCGTAGCAGAAGAGTTAAGGCCATTAGCTTCAGGGTCTGTGAACAGTCATTCTGTCACTGCAGCATTCACTGTGGCCCGGTGTTTAGTACCTTATTAGGTATAAAGTAATTAGTGTTTGCTAGCAATTACTAGGCAATTCCTAGAAGTTCCAAGAAGTGAGTTCCTTTGTTTTAAGGATTTTTAAAAATACGGTTGTATCGAAAGCCATGCCCCCAATTAACATTGCCCAGTACTGTGCCCTCCCTGGTGTGTTTTAGTCAGTTACCATCTTGACTTGAGCAGTGTTTTGTTGTTGTTGTTGTTATTGTTGTTTTTAAATGCCTGAGAAAAATGGAACCTGGTTGTTATTAAATAACTCTTGTCTGGTAGCAAAGCAGTGGGCTCAGCAGAGAGGTTGACAAAGATTGGAGAGAGACAGAGTCTTGTGTCCTGTCCCTATTCCTGCTGCACACACCACCACCACCACCCCCTCCAACCTGGATTTATTTGGGCTCAGATTTAAGAAGCTAGAACCTGTTATCCCAGGATGGCTCAGGAACCTGCAAACAGGGGGTACTGGTACTCACCTGAGAGAGCTCAAGCAGCAGCCCCGGATCCCAAAGCTTTAGAGAATTCTGGAATTCTGTGTGTTTTTTGTTGGGGCTTTTTATGTTTGTTTGCTTTTTGTTTTTTTTGAGACAGGGTTTCTTGGTGTAGCCTTGACTATCCTGGAGCTCACTCTGTAGGCAAACCAGGCTGGCCTCGAACTCACAGAGATCCGCCTCCTGAGTGCTGGGGATTAAAGGCCTGGGTGATTCTTAACGATGATGATCAGAAGTGGTTTGGTTCCCTCTAGAAAGAAAGTTGATGGAAGGGTTGGCCTAATGGTGGGGTTATTGGTTTCCTGTTAACTTTGTCTATCGAGGAAGATGGACTATCACTTTAAATCAGTTGTTTGTGTACCTGTTGGTTTTCTGAGTGGTATGTGGAAAAGGGACAAGATGCCTTTTTTTAACTTACTGAGAATAATAAGCAAAGTTATGTTCCTGTGAGGCATATGGTACAGCAGTGCCCAGACCTGGCCTGCCTCTCACTTAGGACACATAAGTAAGGCTATTGGAACATGCTGGGGTGGGTGCCCTGCAGTTCCTCCAGGAACAAAGGGAGATAGATAAGCAGCCCTGTGAGAAAACGGTGCAGGCCAGTTCTCATCCTACACTGCCTTAGCTGTGCCTGGGACTTTGCATCTGCTCTCCTCACTCTCTGGAGTATAAAACGTGAGCAGCAAGCAGCACAGACTTGACCCTTAATTCAGCAACAGACTGCCAGAGCCGACAGTTAAGCCAGGTTTGGCTTTTGCTGTAAGTAAAAAGCTGAATTGGTTTAGTTCATTTTCTCTTAGCATCCAAATCTATGGGTGACACTGCTGTCTGACTGTTGAAAGTATTGCTTAGAAGGTATGGCTTGATTGCCTAGTCCAAACCCTGAATACTGTAAGTCTTCTCTTTCACTAGCAGATTCCTCTTAAAGTGGGAGCTTTGCTGCTTGCTGGTGAGCTTTCCTAGGGTCTTTACTCATCCCTTTGTACTCATAGGAAGTCTCCATTGAGCTTCCATTATCTCTTCTCTACTTAGTACTCTGTTCCATCTAACATTGATGATTAAGAGTTAAGTTTTTGAAGATGTAAATGCTGAGTTTCTTAGGCTTTACTACATCAACTGATTTTCTTTTTTAAAAAAAGCTGGAAAGTTTCCCTTTGGGTGGATAGAAAAGCATTCTGTTCGTGATTACCCCAGTCAATCCAGCTAACTTATCTGTTCAGTGTCATCGTGTTCACTGTATCTGCTGTGTCTTACTAAGTGGCTGCTGACAAAGGCTTACTCAAAGTAGTCTTTATTTGATAGGAAGTTGAAGAGAGGGGGATGTGTTGAGTCTTACTTAAGCTCTCATATACTGTTGGAAAATTGTAGTTGGGAAGGAAATATTAAAAATGGAGGCAAGTCCTCACAGTATTGGAAGTAGCTAAACCTTGAGGAAACAAAATTTACTGTCCTGTGTTCTGCTTCTTTGGTAGAAAACAGGTCAAGGATAAGTGTAGAAGCTGAAACCAATGGATTGAGCTGAAAGCCCTTGGGTAGGAATTGAGTTGAAGTGTGTTAGAGTGCTTAAAGGTAACACCAACTAGAAAGTCCTCACTGAGCATGTCAGTTGAACAGCTGTCTCATACATGTGTGTATCAAGTAGATAAAGATAAAAGTTGTAGGCTTTGTTAATTTCATAGTTTGGGAGGAAGTATTGGTAAATTGGCATCTTTGGATTTAGATGCATATTAAGAATCTTTGAATTCATTCATTCTGCACAAAATAGTGCTTGGCCTGCTGCTAGGTGGAAACATACTGAGAGCAAAGTACAGATTAATACTTTTTAGTAGCTGTATTTAAAAGACCAGTGTAGTATTAACATGCTTCCGGTCTATCCAAAACACTATCCAACCAAACAGAATGGAAGAACATTTTAGGTTTTTCCTCCTACTAACTTGAAAATAGATGATGTATGGGACCAGTGACTGACATTGCTACAAAATGCACACGTTTTTTTGTTGATAGCACTTTGATAGATGTTCTTAGATAAAATTTGTTTCCAGTCAATAAGTTAATTGTGTCAATGGGGTTAAAATGAGAACAGTAACATGATTAAATTAGCCTTGATAATACAATATAGTTTTACCTTTCTGCTCTGTCAAATTTAGAACAGCCTTTAAATAAAAATCAAACATTAAAAAGAGGAAAAGGCACAACAGGATAAGGAGTTCAGAACCCAGAGTAACAGGCCACACTGCTGTTGGCTATTCATTACTTAAGGAGTGGGATGTTAAGTGCTTCACCAACCTGGTAACAAAAGTAGATGCCTGTTTCAGATCTACAGTTTCTGATGGATTAGGTTCTTGTTACATACTAGCCTTCCTATATTTATAGAGTGCACCTGACACCCCCCCCAGACTAATTCATTTGAATATCTGTATTACTCATTATCCTGACTGTTCTTTGCCAACTGTGATGTGTAAATAAGCTATAAAGTTAATAAAGATGTAAGAAATCAGACTCAGTAAGTAGGCTTGAAATTAGTTTTAATTCTTAAGTTAAAGTGTTGTCTTTTCTGCTTTTCTTTGATAGTCGGCAGCAGGAAATAGAAGAAAAACTCATTGAGGAAGAAACAGCACGAAGAGTGGAAGAATTGGTAGCAAAGAGGGTAGAAGAAGAATTGGAGAAAAGGAAGGATGAAATTGAGCGAGAAGTCCTCCGAAGGGTGGAAGAAGCCAAACGCATCATGGAAAAGCAGTTGCTCGAAGAACTCGAGCGACAGAGACAAGCTGAGCTTGCAGCACAAAAAGCTAGAGAGGTAACGCTCGGTCGTTTGGAAAGTAGAGACAGTCCATGGCAAAACTTTCAGTGTCAGGTGTGCCTCCTGCTCAGTCGAGAACGAGATGGAATGCGACTATCTAATTCCTTTCTCATCTAAAGTTACATGGCTGCGAAAGATAATTTTTTAGCCAGAAGTGCTGACTGGTACTTAAAAGTTACTTTCTTAAAACTTATTGAAGGATATTTTTTTGATCTAATGGAACTGGCTTATGTATTTGAGAAGTGTTTGAAACTTTTGCCATGGCTGCAGGACTACATTCTTTTTTGGGAGGGTAGGGGGAAGCCAGGGAGTGGAAAAGGGAAAAGGCTAAAATCCACCCGCGGTTGCATCTTCTTTTCTGTTTATCACTTTGTTACCTAGACTGTGAGAGGCTTTTGCCTTCAGTCAGATCACAAAGAGCAGGGCCTGATGTTGAGTGACAACACCTGCTTTTGATACACAGGTTTCCTCTTTTCTTCCTTCTGTTACCCTTCATCCCCTTCCTAAATCCTCTCAACACAGTGGACTAATTGTAGCATTTTGATTATAAGGCCCTCCATTTTCGTAATGTGTTTGAAGGAATCTTTTAAGGAAAAATGTCCAGATTGTTCATCCTCTCTTTTTTTTTTATTTTTTTATTTTTTAAAGTACCTACTAACAACTCCTTTTTTTCTCTAGAGAGTTATGAAGGAACAGGTTGTCCTTGTCTGGAGTCAAGCTAAACACATGATTTGTTTTATCAGCAGCTGGAGCAGAAGTTGAAAATGTCTTTCTGTGAGACAGTAATTTGCTACTGAAGCTTTATGGCTTGTTTGCACTGATTACTCCAGGATCGCAAAGTGTGGCGAAAGTCACAGAAACACTCAAGGCAAATTGCTTCCACAGCACTGAGTGTCCATCCACAGTTTGTTAATGAGCAAATGAATCCCATTTGTGTGACACAGAAAATCTGTAGTTACATTTTCTTGAACATAAATTTATAAATATTCGGCTTAAATACATGACTTACTGTCATTTTTCATCCTGGCGTTACTGTGGACAAGTTGACATTGTGTTAAGTCTGCTTTCTAGTAAGCTTTGCTTGTACAGTGCATTTCCCTTGTCCTGTCTTAACTACATAGACCTGTTTGTAGTTGGTTTCACAGACTAAAATTCAGTGTATGGTATTTTTATTTATATCAGTGCCTTTAATAATGGAGATATTTTTGGAGTAATTGTGCTATCTTGTAGCGAGTTATTAATCATAGCAAGATTTTTTTCCTCTTCATTTGCTTTTTGTTTCATATTAACATTTTTTTTTTAACACGGACACAATCCTCTGACAGTCTTTCCAAATACTAAAATCATTTGAGTATGTATGCTGTGATCTGAACACTGCCCAATCCATCAAGCAATCTTCATATAGTTTGCATTATAAAACTTCATTAAATTCTCCAAGAAAAAAATGACAGAATTTTATTTCCTGACTGTGCATCCCCTGGATTCCTGAATTTCAGTGCAGACTGTAGATGACAATATAAGCTGCCTATAGTGATTGTCAACATCTGATGTTAAGTCCATGCCCCATGGAAGCAGTCCTTAGTATGGATTACCATTTGTATTTTTCACTAACAGTAAATGTATTTTTCTTATTAATTGTTTGCCTTAGGAATGATGAATTACATTTTTTGTTCCTTCTTACCATAAACATCTGCATTCCTCAGCTCAGCCTTCCTTGTATGTTGTTTCTTTATAAATGGTTGAGCTGCTGATGCAGGTATTGCCAAGCTAACAGTACAAATCATTTTAAAGAGGAAGCTGGCGCGTATGGCAGCCGAGGAGCACACTCTGCAGGACACTGGACAAGACAGTAAATACTCAACTTTTAATGCTGATTAAAGGAGTATAGGTAAAGAATACGTAGGTATCCATAATTGGTGAGACAAATATTCACTTTATTTATATTTTATATACTTTTAATTTGGTAAATACTATCCAGTTTTGTAGTTGTCCTTGTTGATTTGTGTGATATTAAAGTATTAGTAATAATTGCCAGGAGACTATTAGGGAGGGTTTAGTCGGTTGCTGTTTTTGGACTGGGAGGGATGATTTAAATCTAGTGCTAGAAACCAATTTTTTAGTGGCTGCACAGTTTATCATTTGTCAGACAGAAAGGTAGCTGTAAAGCTGCCCTGTAAGTCAGATCCAACAGAGTTGAGAGGAAGATTAGTAATATTTGCTGGTAGAGCTAAACACTTTATTTTCCTAACATCGTGACATGTCCTCCCCTTTAGGAGGAAGAGCGAGCAAAGCGTGAGGAACTGGAGCGGATATTAGAAGAAAATAACCGGAAAATCGCAGAAGCACAGGCCAAACTGGTGAGTGCTTTGTATTTGGGAGGCATCATGCAGGGTCTTCCAAATTATATGGATTTGTGCTCAGTAATTGGACTTTGAGGAGATTCTCAAGGCTATTTCAAGGACCTTGAGGCTGAGGTAAAGAGTAGTAGAATTGATGATTTTAATGACTAATTTTGGAGAGAATTGTAAAATTTTAGTATTTTAAATTATTGGGGACGATATAGTATCCCCTGTCCCCAGTGTCTTCACTCTGACCATCCTCACATTTCTTAAGCCTGGAAACAACCACCAGGGATAAAGCAGAATACCCAAGTTCTTCAGATAGCTGACACAGTAGCATCCTATTACTAAACAGAAGGAAGACTATATTTGACCAGTCTCTGAGATTCCCCTCCCTCTCCAGCCATAGATCTCGTACAACCTAGGCTGGCCTTGAATTCCTGATCCTCCTGCCTCTATTTCTTGTATGCTGGAATTCCAGGTGTGCTCCGTGGCAACTCACACAACTTAACTCATATTTCTTATTTACAATCTAAATAAAAGTACAGAGCCTAATTATATCATAGAGCAATAAAAGGTATAGGTCAATTAAAAATATAATCGGCCAGCATAAGGAGGGACTATGAATATAAGTAGTTCAAAACCCCAAGACAGTAACCCATGAGTGTAGACACAACCCAGGAGAGAGTCTAGGAAAGTCTGATTTGAATGCAGTAGCAATAACGAGACCAAGAAAAGTATTTGCTTCTGAGACTTGCTGTTTAGTGGGGAAGAGCAAGATGTGTCACTTAACTTAATTTCTCCTTGAAAACTAACCATTCAGAAAAACACAAAGAGTACTTGGTCCTAGAGCATGGATGGGTTAACAGTTTGTCCCACTGCAGGTAGAAGAAAGGAGACAATCTTAATTCGGGTTTGGAGGATAAATACAATCTGGTTTGTGACAAACATCTCAGAAGAGAAACTAGGTCTATGACGACCTGGTAAAAGGATTAGATGGCCGTGTGAGGTGTGACTCTGGGTGCCCACATCAGTTACTGGCTTCACCTATAGGAAGAAGAAAGTTTTCTCTTGGAGGGGTGTGGTAGAAAGATTGGTATTCACAGTCTAGAGGAACATTTCTCAAGTAGAAGTTAATGGCCAGTTTTTGTTTTTTTATCTTGTTTCCTCATACCTCTGTTTTGCAAAATGCTGTTACATTTTGTAAAGAAAATGTGATCAGGTTTCTATAAGCTCTCCAGTGCTTTGTTTTCTATTTGTGGATTGCTTTGCACAGTTCTAGATACCTGATGCTAGACTCTTAGGGAGTGAATTTTACTGTTGACAGTAAAATTCAGTGGAAGGATGCCTTAGGTAAAGAAGCTGGACTTCTAGAAACTGATTAAAAAAAAAAAACATGGATTTATTTATAAATGCCCATTTGTAGTAACTGCAGTAAAGTTGGAAGCTTAAGATGTGTCTGGTGTTGAAAATTTTGTTGGTGGAAAGTATAATGTCCTTTATGAGGGAGTCCAAAGATAATTGTATATGGAGATGATGGCAGGCCCGTGTTAAAGCTCTTTTTGATACTTGGTTTGAGTGCTGCTGATACAAATTGAGTCGAATTAAGGACCAGGAAAAGGGAAAGAGTAGTGTATTGTAGACACCAGAATTTCCCCAGGCATTGTGGTGCTTGCCTGGCTGAAACAGCAGTTGTGCATGCTGGGTATTGTAATGAATATGCTTGTTCATGAGCTATAGAAAAACAAGAGCTAGGAAACATTCTACCTGATAAGTGGCCAAAAGTAACTATGCACTAAAGTCTTTGTTGGCATACGCCATTTTGAATGTAGATGAGAAATTGTGTTCTTGTAAAAATTAGCATATTTCTTGTAGAGACATGGATGATTCTAAGTTAATAATACAGAAATGTTTAAGTGGTGTGGATGACAGAGTATAATTGACTTAATTGTGATGGAGTGGCAAAGGCCTTCCAAGTGATGTCTCTTTGAAGTAGGCCTCAAATAGGAGGCACATGAGAGTGTGAAGAAATGAAATGGCCAAGGCCTTGAGGTGAGTTAGGAAATGGAGTATGTGGAATGGAGACTCTGGGACAGTGGAGAAATGGTAGTAGGGGTTACAGACAGGTGGTGAGAAAACCTGATGCATGCCAAGAAGGGTGTATGTGAGAACAGAGACAAGCCAGGGAAGAAGGTGCCCTAGGACACAATGCACCTGCTACTTACAGTTCTCAAAGAAAAATGGAAAGTTGATAAAGAACAGCTTCTGGATAAGAACCCAAAAACATACAGAATTATTTACATATGACACGATAAATTAGCTACTGTAACTCAGAGAAAATAGATCCTATCATCTGTGGAAAAGAAATAATTTTTTCCCCTTCCGTTGAGGTCCAATTCCAAATTAGTTTTCCATTGTTTAGGAAGTACCTGCTTTGAGAAAGATAGAGTATGATGAAAGCATTTCCATGGTGATCCTTCGGACTTAGATGGATCTGTATACACTTCAAACCTTAAGTTCTGCCTCTACAAATATATTTTATAAAATTTACTTTCATGTGACTCCATTTGCACATAATACTTTCTCTTATGATCACTAAGAGTGACAGCCATCTGTCCAGGAATTTTTTTTGCAGACAAAAGAACTTCTGAACAAGAGACACAATGTGCAAAATAGCCAGATAAAAAACTGCTATTAGAGATGAACATTTCCTCACAAAAAGGATATTCATACCTTTTAAGAGTAAGTCAATGTGTTCAGAATAGTTATCTTTAATTAGTATGTCCAAGTATAACTTTACACCTTTCTCCAGTTTATATATGGTTTGTAAGTGATGCCTTCCCTTTTTATGGCCATATAAAGAAAGCTAACAAGGAAGATTTTCTTAAGAGATCCTTTTGATTAACTGTTGAAGTAGGCTCCTATAAGGAGTGTGGACTAAAAAGGAATGTGCTAGATTTCATCAGGTGGGGTATGTGAAGGTCACTGTTAACTCAGCTCTGTGCATAGCTCTTGCTCACCTCTAGAAGATAAGCAGTTAACACATACATATTTGATTGTGAAATCACATAGTCCACATGTTGCCTGGCTTCATTCAGCAGGTAAACTTCTAGTTTTTCTCCTTGAATTCACAGTCAGCTGCCTTAAAATAGTTTAAGGTGCTTTGGGGTTTTTTTGAGTTTTTAAGACAGGGTTTCTCTGTGGGACAGTCCTGGCTGTCTTGGAACTTTGAACTCGCAGAGATCCTGCCTCTGCCTCCCAAGTACTGGGATTAATGGTGTGTGCCATCACTGCCTGAGTTAATTGAAGAATTATTAATTCGGAATTTTAGTTTGTTCTTTGTGTGTCTGTGATGTGTGTGCACATGTGCTTGTTTATGCATGCCCACATGTGAGGCCCGAGGTTGGTGTTCAGGGTTTTCCTCAATCACTTTCACTCTGCTTGTTTGTTTGTTTTTGAGATGAGGTTTCACTGAACCTGGAGATTAGCATTTCAGCAGACTGGCTGGCCAAAGCACTTGGGGTCCACCCACTCTCTGCAACCCCACTCTCAGTTCAGTTCACATGTTTCAGGTGGTATGCATACCACCAAGACCCACTTCTGGATGGGTGCTAGAGATCTGGACTCCAGTCCTCATGCTGCGCAGCCAGTACCTTACCACACCAAGCCTTCTCCCAGCCCATTTACTGTTTTAAAAAGAAGCACTTAAATTGAGGGGGAGGAGGTGTTCTCTCCCATTTTGTATGCTATACTTTTGAAAATGTTAGGTACTTTGCAGAATTATATGACTCATGAAAAGGAAACAGAATTTTGTGTTTCTGTTTTGCTCTTCTTTAGTTGTGTCTTGGCCCTGTAGCCCAGGCTTCCTTAGTACTTACATTTTGTATCCCAGGCTGGACTTGAGCTCCTGGTAACCTTTCTACGCCACCTCCCATGTGCATGTGGCCACCAGTAGAGTTTAGATATTGCTGTGGAGGGATGTGACTAGTTGCCAGTGAGTAGCACAGCCTCCACCTATGCCCTGCCCTAGTGTCCAGCAGTACAGACTTACCTGAGCCATCTCCAGATCACTGCATCTGGGAGGCATTTTGAAGTCAGTACAAAGTACAAGTTACAGATATGTCTGATACTGAAATAGGTTAATTTCTTACCCGTGTGAGTTGTGTGAGTTAATAACTGTGAGAGGTTAAAATGTGCTTGAAAGTTGAAAGGTGCACATACTTAAGTATAAATTAGTGCTCAATTTGTAGTTAAGTGATAGTTCTGAAAAGAGTTCTGTGGAAAATGTAGGGCATTTTTGGTGTTTTTATTTTGTTTTTAAGTACACTCAATGTACTAGACTGAGCAGTCTAGTTCTAGACTTTTCAGATGTTGCTTTTTGTGGTCAGAACAGTGAGGGTGTTCTTTGCTGGTGGGTGTGCTCGAGTTATCCTGAGGAGGAGACTTTGATCTCGGTTATTTCTTGAATATCATCATCACCTGTCCTTTTAAGAGGAAGGTGGAGGGAGATTTTTCTTTCATAAATGAGAGAAGCTAAAGTAAGGACAGAGCAGAATGAGATTTCAAAATGTTCTGTTTTCCCACGCACTGGCTTTAAGCCTGGCCTAGTATACATAGCAAGTTCCAGGACAGCCAGAACTACATATTAGAGAGACTTTGTCTCAGAGGAAAGATGGGTTTAAAGATTGATGTGGTCAAAGATGGAATCCCTGGAGGCACCTGAAGCCAGCACCATTCAAGAGCCTCCTTCCATACTTCCAAGGGCACTGAACCCTGCTTCCTTTGTGATCCTGTGTTTGGTATTGGGCAGAAACTGGAAGATGTTGAGGCACAGGTTTTTGTTTGTAAAACTGCAGAAAGGTGGGTTATTTACAGGTACTTCTTTAGCTACCAGAAGTGTGTTAAAGCATGCTGTTTGGAACTGGAGGTGAGGTTGGACTCAGGGATTCTAAAACAAACAGCAAAAAGGCTAAAGAAGAAAATCAGCTTGAAAGGAACTAACACTTGATTATTTGGAG